ACTATAGTAGGATCATATTCGATGCAAAGTAATAAATCATTGCCTGTCAAGGGAACCAATGAAGTACGCTTTTAAGGGTTTTACAAATTGAATAATTTCTTTATACATTATGAAGGGACGAGGGGATCAGTTCAGGTCTGGCACCCTTGTTCCTACAAAAATTCCTTTATTCTCATAAACTATTTATTTTAAATGTAATTTATTATAAATCCAATTTGTTTCCTAAATTCCACATATGTACTACATTTTACCTCTGTACGCGCCACTGTTGTTTACTTGTTTTTTGGAAGCGCTCTCTAATTGACGGCAAAGCTCGCCAGGTTAGTATTTGACGTATAACCGACCAGTTCGTACACTCGATGCACCTGGCCGACTACAGCTACTACCAGAACATAGTGCGTATGCAGCGGTATTTCAGATTTTACATTGAATTTCATTTTAAATTTGAAATGATCTTACGCCTCCTAAAAATGATGACACGATTTTCCTTTGATAAAAGACCGACAACTTTTTGCTCTACTTTGCATCGAATACGATCCTGCTATAGTTTATTACATGAATTTTATTTATAAGTGTTAACTCCTTCTCTCTCCGTCAATCTATCTGACAAAATCTTAATTTTTTTCAAATTTCCTCAAACCAATGCTGCTATATACATGACTTTATAAAATAGTACTTTGTTGTACTTTCTAACTTTTCTACTATATACTGTTGCCTTTTACAGTCTATTTAATTGAAAATTTTATATTATTTAGTTTATTTTGACAGATTGATGTATTCATCTAACGATTTCGCCTTTTTATTAAACAAACTTATTCTATATGTAAATTTTATCCTTCATTGTCTCATGTCTAGTATTTCACATCTCTGTTGTCAGTTTTTCTCTACTTTTTCTAGCGTGAATATGTCTAAATTTTCAACAGTACGTTGTTATTTATTTATTTAACGTTTCAACTTAGAATAGCATAACAATAGATTACGTATTTACTCGTGTTTTTAGAGAATTCATAGAAACTTAAACTAACTATAACAGCACATTAAAACAACTTTAAAACGACCCTACTTAAATTTTGGTGTAAAATCGGCCCAGTTAAGTACCTACAGAGGAACCGACTAAAATATATTTTCAACTAAAAATATCCTTACCTGTAATAATTGAGGACCTGAGCGAAGACTCCCGGATGTCTGTCGAAGAAATATTCGTTGAGGATGGGATCGTAGTTGGCTAACGCTTCCGTGAGCCTGGAGAGCCTCGTGGCAGGTATCTTCTTCAGTGTGGCTTTGTAAGTTTCGTGGCGGATCCCGCCCACGTTGAGCACGACGCGATTCTCCGCGTCCATATTGATGAGGTTCATGGCTGAAAAAAAAAAGAAGTAGTACAGATTGATGTACATCTTTTACAGTTTTACGGTTGTGTAATCCCACTTTAAGTGCATTTTTCTTTGATAAAGCGAGTCTTACATTATAATGTTTATTAATTAATAAATGATTTATTTATATCCGTATCCCTTCAACAAGGATTTTTTGTATGCCAATCGCGTAATGTTGGTTGCCTATGCCCGACAATTATCTGGTCATTTATTTTGCTATGAATGACAAAGAAATACCATTTTGTTCGTATAACAGCCTAAAACTGCTTCGTAAACGCAGTAAACACAGAACACCCTATTATAAAACAACCTTTTTTTTATGAAACTACATATATAATATCCCATAAAAGAACCCATATCGTGCATTGCAACATTATCAAGGGCAGCCTGTGGCGTTCTCTCTTTCTCTCAATCTCGCAGACGCTTTTTTCATTGTCGACAATTAGATTTTTTACGCGCTTTTAAGACAGGTTAAGGGGGAAACAGGAATAAATCTCGGTGAGGGTTTCCTGCGCTCCCACGACACAGGATTTATTTTATTTAGTTCGAAATTGCCGTTTGTACGAGATTAAAACGTTTAAATGGAGAGAAAATGTAGAGTCGGGACGAATTAATTGAAAGAGGAATTTATAAGTTGTTTGTTACACAATTAGGATATAAAAATGTTACTCTCGCCCTTTAAAGTTCATCGTACAATCACAATGCACCCTAAAGAGTTAAAAAATTGAACGTAGGGGAAAATTTACAGTTTACACCTTGTTTTGTACCCCGCAGGCAAAGATAACACAGGCCAACAAGGAAAAAATTCCAGAGATCAGACACTGCGTTTCCGAAGGCATTTGGCGCGCTGAATCCGAATCGGGCCTCAGAATTGATCCATCACCCTAGGTTTCCGAGATATTCTAACCTAAAAGTGCAAAAAACACGTATTTTTGCTATTTTCAAGGTTATGTAACTTGGCGAAAAAAAATTTTTTTCTCAAAACTGAAAATATCATTGGAAACTACTATCTTTCCCCCTTTAAAACGCATTTTTTTATTTGTAAAAAGCTTTATTTTTCGCGGAGATATCGTCGATTAAAGATGATCAGTATAGCTACCTTATTAAACCATGGCTCGACCTATAACACAATTAATGGGTATTATGGGTTATTGGGTAAAAGGGCTTGAAGTTAACCTTCCTGACGATTAGGGCTCACAGCGCTTAGTGTTGTGGGGTTATAGGGCTTGGGATTAACCTTCCAGACATATAGGGCTTGGGGTTAACCTTCCTGACGATTAGGGCTCGCAGCGCTTAGTGTTATTGGGTTATAGGGCTTGAAGTTAACCTTCCTGACGATGAGGGCGCTCGCTCCGCTTAGTGTTGTGGGGTTATAGGGCTTGGGGTTAACGTTCCTAACAATTAGGGCTAGCAGCGCTCAGTGTTATGGGGTTAGCCATGATGTAATAATATAGCCATACTGGTTATCTTAAATTGACGATACCTCCGCGAAAAATAGAGCTTTTTTCAAATAAAAAAATGCGTTTTGAAGGGGAAAGATAGTCGTTTCCAATGATGTTTTCAGTTTTAAGAAAAAAAATTTTTTCGCCAAGTTACATAACCTTGAATATAGCAAAAGTACGTGTATTTTGCACTTTTAGGTTAGAATATCTCGGAAACCTAGGGTGATGGATCAATTCTGAGGCCAGATTCGGATTCAGCGCGCTAAATGCCTTCGGAAGCGTCTGATCTCTGGAATTTTTTTTTTGAAATTTTGTCGGCCTGTGTAATCCAAATAATAATCACAAACAAAGGCCATACAGCTCTAACAGACGACTTCGCTCCCTGCAAAAGGGTTAATATATAGTTTACAGCTTTCTGTTTCCTAGAGGCGAGATCATTAATCTCGTTTTAATTCCTGGAACGCCTCCATTGACTGATTGCCTGTCTCACTCTGCAATGATATGCCTCTTCGTGGGCAACATCCTGGCTTAAGGGTATATCACTTCATATGGTAATTGCTACAGATATTTATCTATTCGCCTGGGTACTACTCCACCTATAAGACCATAAGAGTAACTAAATAAGAGGCTTTTATTGGATAGGGCGGATCGAACATGCATTCACTGAGGCCATTTCACGTTGTTGCAGCAAAACATTGTGCTTTATGGACATTGTTAAACAGAAATCTGCAACCACAGATCGAATCTGTATTTCCAAGCTTTCAATCAACATAAATAGAATGCGTTGACTGAAATATTTCAATCAACGAAGAATAGAATAGAATGTTTGAAGTTTGAGGTTATAGTTTATCTTCAGGACTTTAGGTAGGTTGCCGCGTTTTATACATTAATAAATTTGTTTTGTTTTAGATTAACATAATAAGGGATTTATTGAATCAATCGTCTGAACTGCCTTACTGTTTTTTATTCGTTTTTCTGGTTCTGGTAGAACTAAACGTCATTGTTGTGTTCCAAATTGCAAAAACATTTCTTAATATATGAATATCTGTAATACGTTCTATAGAAATAAGTTTTTTCAGAATTACAAAAGACAGACAATTACTGTGGATAGAATCAGTTCGAAAATTATGTAAAATCAGAATTTACTCCGACAAACAGATCATTATTTTTGTGAAGACCATTTTGAGTAAAAAATGTTTAAAAAACAGTAATAGGAAGTGCTTTGCCAACATTATTTTTAGGATCAACTACAAGTTCTCCTATTAATTGTAATAATATCACCTCGGAATCTTTAGATAGTATCCAACATTCAGAAAAACAATTTGTTAACGTAACATTATAGAATTTTCGTAGTACGAGCTGCTAAACTTTTAAAAAACCGAAATGCATATGTTTAAAATTGTTATTTGCTATAAGTGTAGTATATTACATTGTACTGATGAAAACCAATTACTTCGAAACAAATGTATCTAACCATAATTTTTGTCAAGTCACTGTGCAATGCATTTTACATAAAGCCAGGTAGATCATTCTTTCAAATTCTTTAAAATTTGCAGTTTTTAATGGGTTCTTTAAAAAATAATAATTACAAGAGTCTCATTGTACATTTTTTTTATATTTAAATATTTTCGAATTCATAACAAAATGAATTTTGTCACACATTTAAGTATCACTGCTTTAACTTTTTCATTTAACCAAGTGATAATTAAAGTATTTCATAAGTAATGGGTCATGGAACAGGTGTTAATGGTTCACGTTAATTTCTATGATTAACTTAAACTATTAATAGCTGTTTTGTGATCTATTACTTATGAAACACTTTTTATTCTTTGTGTATTTTGTTACATTTAAATTTACCGTCATTATGGTGCAGCGACATCTTTAGGTAGTAGAATTAATGGTTACTCTAAATGTGTTTTCCAATGCAGTTTCCTTAATTATTTTATGGTCTGTGGTTTCCGAGTGTGTCGTCTGCTGCACCAGCTACAGATGGCGGTACTCTGCCGCTGCTGCCAACAGAATACACAGAATAAAGCCCTCTTAGTCATATGTAACGAGCGTTCAAATAAAAACGTGGTCGAAGTTGGCTCTGACACATTGGACGTAGGGAGTAGCTTATAACGACCAACTCAACCTCATTTCTCAACGAGCTGTATAGCAGCTGTCAGTTTCAATAACGTTAATGACTATATAACTTTATTTTAAAGAAATCGTGATAACAATAACAAACAATTAAAGGAGCTGCGGAAAGTGTCCCCCTCTTTGTTATAACAATAAATTAAAGCAGCTGCTGAAAGTGTCCCCCTCCTTGTTCCAAGCACTTTTCACACCTGTTCCTCAAAGAATTAAAGACATCTAAGATGCTCGGGGTATTGTTAATTTCACGAATCTTGTCTATAAGTCGAGCCTGCAGATGGTTTAAATCAGGAATAGACAGTTCAAAAATAGTGTTTTTAAGGTAAGGCCACAAAAAGAAATCACACGGCGTAATATCACATGACCTCGGTGGAAATTCATGTTCAGCATTGAGACTTATTAGTCGATTTTGGAAAACTTCCCTCAACATAGTCATCGTCTCGCCTGCCGTATGTGGCCTTGCGCCATCTTGTTGAAAGTAAAAGTTTGTAATTTCGTTTTCTTCCAGCTGGTTAACAAAAGGAGTGGTAATTTCTTCTCTATACCTTTGCGCAGTAAGAGTACCACTAAAAAAAATAGGTCCATAAATCCTCCTTCGATTGAGAGCACACCAAACTCCAATTTTTTGAGCGTGTAGAGGGCCCTCGACAAAAAAGTTATCTGGTTTTTCAGAAGACCACATTCTCATATTCTGTGAGTTTACGTAACCACTTAAATGAAACCAGGCTTCATCAGAAAAAAAGGTGATATTATGAAGTTCACCGTAGTTGTTTAAAAACCATTCACAAAATACAGCCGGTCGCGGAAAATCAACTTCATGAAGTTCTTGCTGACAAGTTAAACGATAAGAGAACAAACGCAAATCTTTTTTTAACACTGTGTGGCAGGTACCGACTGATACTCCCACCATTTGTGATAAAACACGTACAGAAGTTCTTGGCGCATTTTCCATTATTTGTTGGACATTTTCTTTTAATTCTTCAGTCCGCTTTTTAGGTCGGCCGCTTCCTTCTTTTCTTGTTACACTGCCCGTTTCACGAAAAACATTAACACAACGCTGAACTGCACTTTGAAAAATTTTGTACTCAACAACGCCGGAAAATTGATTTTGAAATTCTATGAAACATTCCTCAATAGAATACTTCCATATTCCATCAATCTTGCGTCCATTTCTAAAGTAGGACTCTATGATAAACACTTTTTGTTCGTGAGAAAACACCATTTTAAACGCTTTTTAAAACGAAAATATTCAAATTGATAGCGGTGATATAGCGCTTTGACAGATGACGTTTAAGTTTATTTGCTATACGCTACGCCTTACGTCCAAATTTTCAGAACCAACTTGACCACGTTTTTTTTTAACGCTCGTTATAAGACCTTATAAGGCCATAAGTTTGAACCGTGACG